TTATTAAAATGCTGGCAAGTTGTATGGAATGTGAGGAGGATGAATTTGAACAAGAGGTGGACCAAGTTTATAGGATTTCTTCATTCTATGCGAGGAAGAATAAAACCGTACGGGATGTGATTGTGAAATTTACAAGGAAGAAGGTGAGGGATGACATTTTGTATAAAAGTAACAGAAACCCAATCTTTTACAAAGAAAAGAAAATTGTAGTTTTGAAAGAATTTCCCCAGATGACCTTAGTGAGAAGAAGAAAATATTTCTTTCTAACAGAAGAGCTGAAAAAGAGAGAGATAAGATTCAGGTGGGAGAGAAAAGAAGGAATAATGGTGACATATAAGGAAGAAAGACACTGGCTAACATCAGAGCATAAGGCTAAAGTGTTTTATGATAAATTAATGAAAGAACAGGGAGATGAAGAAGAAATGGGAGAGGAGGAGGAAGAAGAAGGAGACGAAGCGGAAGGAGATGAAGAAAGAAGACTATCTACTCCAAGAAAGGGTATCAAAGAGAAAAAGGCAAGATATAAGTCACCAAAGGATTATAGCTACTTATTGAAAGATCCCAAACCACAGAGAACGACACCAAGAACGACACCACGGAAAGAAGAAAAAGGAAAAGAAGAACAGAGTGTTGAACAACAGGCAACTGGAACAGCGGAAACGGCTTTTGGCGATATAGGATTGGGACTCGATGGGAATGAATAAGATGATGGAACGACAAATAAAATGTTTCTCAAACAACATTAACGGTTTGAACTCCCCCCAGAAACGCAAGAAAGTATGGAACAGTTTGAAGAAATTGGATTATGACGTAATAGCGTTACAGGAAACGCACATCAGTGATAAATATATCGCACACCTCCCAAACAAAAAATTAGGAAAAGAATATCATTCCTCATATGAGAAGAAGAAAAGAGGAGTAGTAACCTACGTGAAAGAAGCTATAGAATCAGAATTAGCTTTTAGAGACTTGGAAGGAAGATGCATTGCGGTAAAGATAATAATTGGAGACTCAAAAATATTGATATGTAATATTTATGCACCAAATGGTCCAAAAACAAAATTTGTTGAATTTCTGAACTCCAAACTAAAAGAAGCAGAATTTGACGATCTGATTTTGTTAGGAGATTTCAATGGAGTGATGGACCCTCAAATAGACAAAAATGCGAAGAAAAAGAAAATAAAGGAAGGTAAACTCCCTCAAAAATTTATAGAGTTGCAAAAAGAATTTGATCTAGAAGATATATGGAGAATTAGAAATAAAGATAAAAAAGACTATACATTCTTCTCGAATAGACACCAATCCTGGTCCAGGATTGATATGGCCTGGATAACTAGAAAACTCTCCGCCAAAGTGAAGGAAATTAACATCTTACCACGAGACTTGTCAGATCACTGCCCTTTAGAAATTTGTATCAATCATAAAAACTACTCCAGGAGATGGAGATTGAATGAGAATCTAATAAAAACAGAACAGGATAAAGAATATTATAACAAAATAATTCAAGATTATTTGCAAATAAATAAAGTGGAGGAAACGGATCCATGTGTGGTGTGGGATGCCTTCAAAGCAGTTCTGAGAGGACACTTTATACAACAAGGAGCAAGGAAAAATAGGGAAAGAAATAAAAGGTTAAATGAGTTGGCGGCCGAAATAGCAATTAAGGAAGCAGAATTAAAAAAGAGACCAAGAAAAAAAAATAGAGAGGCAACTTTTGGTGTTAAAACAAGAGAAAACCCATGCAGAGTTAGAATCTCAGTCAATACAACTGAAGTTTTTAAAACAACAGACTTTTGAAAATGCAAACAAACCTGGTAAATGGTTGGCGAACCAAATCCGGAAAAAAAGACAAATAAATCATATATCTAAAATAACTACATTGGATAAGGATTTGAGGACAGATAAAGAAATTATAGAGGAATTCAGGAGATTTTACATCCAATTACCGTATATTCCGGCATATAAGACGACTGGGCGTATAAGACGACCCCCAACTTTTCCAGTTAAAATATAAAGTTAAGACAACTCCCATGCATAAGACTACACCCGCGTATAAGACGACCCCTGACTTTTGAGAAGATTTTCTTGGGTTAAAAAGTAGTCTTATACGCCAGAATATACTGTATATCAAAGGATAAAATAAAGAAAGAGGAAGTTATGGAGTACATTGGCCAAATGAAACTAGACAAAATAACGGATGAGGATAGAGAAGAATTGAATAAAGAGATATCGGAGGAGGAGATAGAAAAAGCAATCAATAAAATGAATGGAGATAAAGCCCCAGGGCCGGATGGATTTACGGCTGGATTTTATAAATCCTTTAAACAACAGTTACTCCCAATACTTAAAACTATCGCAAATGAAGCGATGAAATATCGGAAAGTTCCAGACTCATGGAAAGAAGCGGAAATCACAGTGATTCATAAGGAAGGCTCCCCGGAAAATGATATTAAAAACTATAGGCCGATCTCTCTCTTAAACACGGACTATAAAATATTTGCAAATATTATGGCCACAAGGCTAAAAGTGTTTCTTAATAAATGGATTGGAGAAGAGCAAACGGGCTTTCTCCCAAATAGACATATGAAAGAAAATATTCGCAATGTCCTTGATATTTTGGAATACTATGAGACAAATCATCAAAAAGAATTCGCTATTTTAGCAATAGACGCTGAGAAAGCTTTTGACAATTTAAATTGGGATTTTTTCAAGATATTAATACAAGAATTGGATATGGGAGAAAAATTTAACAATGCAATTAATGCTATCTATAATTATCAAAAAGCCAAAGTGAAAATAAATGGACAACTGACACAAGAATTTGAAATTGCGAAGGGCACTAGACAAGGATGCCCATTATCCCCACTGATTTTTATAATGGCTATGGAGATCCTAATGAAGAAAATTAGAGAAGATGAAAATATAAAAGGAACGAAAATCGGCAAATTCGAATATAAAATACGGGCGTTTGCAGATGATTTATTAGGAACAATTGAAGATCCAGATAAAAACCTACAACATTGGATAACGAAAATAGAGCAATTTGGAAAAGTGGCTGGATTCAAAATGAATATGAAGAAGACAAAACTGTTATTTAAAAATGTGAAAAAGGAGAGACAAAGATTCAACAACAATTGGGGATAGAGAGTGTAAAGAAAATCAAATACTTAGGAGTCTGGATTACCGCGAGAAACTGCCAACTTCTGAAGAATAACTACGAAATAGTTTGGAATAAAATTCAAAAGGACTTACAAAAATGGAACTACTTAAATCTATCACTCCTGGGTAGAATATCATTAATAAAGATGAATGTTCTTCCAAGACTTATATTCCTATTCCAAAATATACCGGTAATAAGAAATCAAACTTTGTTTAAAAAATGGAAGAAAGATCTACTTAAATTCATTTGGAAAGGGAAAAGGCCAAGAATTAATTACATAAACTTAATTGATAAAAAAACGAGAGGAGGTCTGGGATTCCCAGACTTGAAAACTTATCACGAGGCTTGTGCTCTATCATGGATAAGAGATTGGATGAATTTGAATAAGGAAAAGTGCTTAAACTTAGAGGGCCATGACCTGAGGGTAGGCTGGCACGCTTATGTGTGGTATAATAGAGAATCTAAGGAAAAAAATTTTGGAAATCATTTCGTGCGAGCCTCCCTATTGAGGACATGGTTAAGATACAAAGCCCTCTTTTATAAAGTTACACCTCTTTGGGTCTCGGCGATGGAGGCCCATCAAAGAAGACTCTTAGGATGGAGGATTTGGCCAAGATACAAGGATATTCTGTTGAAAGGGGAAATGAAGATTAAATCATTTGAACAACTTAAGAACATGTTCGGAAATATAACCTGGTTACACTACCTTCAAATTAAAGAGCACTTCAAACAAGATCAAAAAATTGGATTTGACTGGGAAGAAAACACATGGGATTTTAAAAACTGAGAAGAAGGCAGTCACACACCATTGTATAGGAGAAGTGGCAAGTGTGAGCGCACATTTCGTTACAAACAATTGTCCAGAGTCGGCATCACGCGGCTTTGCTCCGGGGAAAAAGTGAGCTAGGTCAGCAGAAAGGGAAGTGGGGGTGTTGACTATGGATGTCGTTGCCGTCCCCGTCTAGCATAAGAGTGACTTCGGGTGCTTCAATGTCTTAGAGAATGGGAACAAATGTGGAATAAAAAGTTGAAATATACTTATGCCATGGATTTGAAGGAAAATTGGTACAAAATGTTTTATAGATGGTATCTGACTCCGAATAAACTAAGCCATATGTACCCAAATGTCTCAGATAAGTGTTGGAAATGTGGAGAACAAACGGGCACATTCTTCCACATGTGGTGGACGTGCAAAGAAACAACTAAGTTCTGGGCATCTATACATGAAGAAATACAAAAGATACTGAAGAGAAGGTTTAGAAAGAAACCTGAATATTATTTACTAGGATTTACAGACTCTGACCTTAAAGTAGAGGAAAATGAAGATAAATTATTCACGTACTTTACTACTGCGGCAAGAATTATTTTTGCCAAATTTTGGAAAAATGAACAGATACCTACTGGTGAAGAATGGTTGGAGAAAGTCAAAGAAATTAGAGACATGGACGAACTGACATCTTTGCTTGTAGATTAATTATAAATCCCAGCAACTAAAAACTCAGACTGGACTTCTTTTTATGATTATGAAAAGAAATTTAGAAAAATATTAGAGGATAAGAATAGACAAGAGTAGAAGAAGTTGATGGAAAAGATCCTGATGTTGGAGTGGAAGTCATTTTAGAATAGTTTAGGTTAGTTTAGTCTTTTTTTTTGTCATTTTTTTTCGTTTTTTTTTGTTTTGTCCTTTTTTTCTTTTTTCCTACTTTTCTATTTTCTTCTTATTGTTCCCCCTCTTTCGTTGTCCTGTTTTATAAAATATTTAATAAAAATCATTAAAAAAAAATACAGAGTAATGCACAATAATAATAGTAAACTTATAACAAAATAATTAAGTTCATACCTTAGCAATAGTTGGATAAACAAGTGTTTGGTAGACAACAACAAGGCCAGGGACTGCAGTAGAAGGTTCTCCAGGTATTTCTGGATTGAAAAAAGTACTGCCACTCTGATAGTTCTGCACAGTTCTTGAATGTTCTGGTAATGCATTCCAAATTGCATACAATCTATTACTTTTCATCTCAGGTGGTGATGATTTTGGCCTTAAGAACAATTCACTGCTCATGCCTTGATCATCCAATGAAGCAAAGGATGCTAAAGACTGACTTCGATTCAATCCTAATGGGTTTGGCATATGTGCACTGGAAACAGTCCTTGGAATCATCACATCAGAACTAGAAGGATATGGATATTTGGTCATTTTGTCATAATTGAGCTTATTTGCAAGTGATGGGAAAATGCTATGTAAATTTTCTGCCAGTTCCTCAAAGTTCACTTTAAGATATTTAATAGGATCTTCCCTGAGATGTGGGCTAGGTTGATAAATATTTGCAATTGCATCTTCGATTTCTTGTACCAAGCCATTTGCAGACTGCAAGAATGCAAACTGGCTGGTTTCCTTTAAAGCTTCCTTGGAATATTGCATAAGGCTATCCATCTGCTGAATTCTCCTTGTTGTGTATGCGGCAAACTCATAAAGAGCCTTCTGTTTTTGAATCTCAATGTTTTCTACTGCCTCCATTAACTCTTTCTCTCGCTCTTGAAGTATGACCCGCAGCTTGATGAAACCGTTTCTAATTTCCTTCCTTTTGGTTTCTTTGTAGGACTTAAAATTATTTTTTAGCACAAGAATTTCCATCAAATCATTATCAATTATATAACGGACTATAATGGGGGAGAAAGAGAAAGATAAATATTATGCTATTGACAATTTGAAACATACACTATTCATTTACAAAATAGAGTAATGGAAAAAGATAATTCAGAATTTAATATTATTATTCTGCCTCTAAAGATCTCTGAATGGCATATAATAAATCAAACCAATCAACTGATTTAAATCAATGCAAACAATAATAATGATTTTTTTAAAAACCGAAGTAATTTAACAAGTTTTCAAAAAGATCACACCTGGTTAAATGGTATGACTGATAATGTACATGTTTTATACATGTTTAAAATAGTTTAAAATGACTGAAAACTATGCACATTTGTACTTGTTTCAAATAGTTTAAACGTTTTAAAAACAGATCCTTTACCCTTTCTCCTCTGGAAATTCCTTTCTGCAAGCATTAATTAGCAGAATTTCCCCAGAGGATTCTTTATTATATGAATTCTTTTTTGGCCTCCCCTTTTAGAAAAACAAGTCAACTCTGCAGAACATTCTCAAAAACATCTCCCCTAATTTGGGTAGCTTCTGCTGCTTTCCTAATGTACATGTATGCATGTACATAAACTTGCTCACACATAATGATCCTAAATGGTAAACGGCCCAGAGTTTTGTGGCTTATGCATACTGATATATCCAACAAAAGCTGTAGGATCAGACTTTTAAAAAATACACTTCATAAATACAAATTCCAAAATTACTGTGTGTACTATATATCTATGGATAAGTCAGTGTTATGTGTAAGTTGAGCGCAGGTTTTGGGACCAAAATTAAGGATTTTGATATGACCCGTGGATAAGTCAAGGGATATTCCATGGAAGAGGGAAGTACCAAAGCTACCTCAAGAGGCCAGCCATCAAAGTTGGTGCTTCTTTCCGGTTCTCCCAAGATGGACTGAGTTCTTGCCCTTTGACACCCACAATCAGAGAATGGGATGGCTCCTTTTAAAAAAATAGCTAAGGTATAGTATTCACACTGACTTATGGATAAGTCAATCCATTTTAAGTTGATTTTGATTAAAATTTCTAGACTTATACATGTGTACATAAGGTAACAAACAATAAGACAAGGATAAAAAAATATTAAAATCAGAAGCTAGTAAAGATACTTAAACTGGAACCAATAAATAATAAAATAATATAATGTCTTCAATAGCATTCACAAAATTTGTGCCAATATAGCCCTATACCCAGATTTTTACAAGTGTGAATATTTTTATTCCCATAAGAACAGGTAGTCTTATATACTTGAGGAACTATGTATAAATCCTTAGACATTAGTGGTAGTAGAAGTAACTATTGTAAACTAAATAATAATAATAATGAAGGTTACCTATCTATTTGTATGGTAGAAAAATGCATTAGGCACAAAATACAATTGTATTACTGCTGCTGACAAAAACAGCAACAATGGTTATTTCACTTTTACATATGGTGAAAAAATTCCTTTTGATACACTTTCTTTTCAGGCATCCTATTCTTTTCAATAGCACACACTAAAATTACAACCCTAATTCTTACTTAAGCTGAAAGACCCTAAAGTTTAGCACAATCAAGCTGAAGACTATACAGTTTGTGCTTTGGTATGCTAGATAAACCAAGGCTGTGATCATTATATTATTGCCTTGATCCATTTAGTAGTAACAGCCAGGAAAGGAGGTATGGAGGTATAGCCTTTGGTGGCTGCTATGCAAAGTTTTGGATCTTAATTTTACCAAGGAAGTGAGAATGGAGAAGAAAAGAAATAGATCCATGAATGAATGTGAGGTTATATCCTCCATGAGAGTGTATTCTTTCCTTTTATTTAAAGTTGCCCCCCCCCCAAAAAAGGGGGCACATTGAATGCCTTACAAAAGAGTCCTTATTGTTTTATAATGAGAGGTTGATTGATTTTTTTTTGTACCTGGCCTTCATAACTAACAAAGTAAGGGTAAACTAAATAAGTGTGTGTAAAAAGAAGGGGGAGAAGGGGGAGGAAGAATGAAGTGAGTGAGCAAGAGGGATAATAAACTGACCAGCAAAAGGATTTGGCAAACTTAAGAAATTGAGCTTCCATTTATAACTTGACCTAGGATAATAGATACAGTAGGATTGCCTATTTGGAGTGTGTCTCTGCTAATGGTGTATTTGTACATTTGTGTATAAAGGAAGCACTATAGAAAGTACCATAAAAATCTTCAGAGAAGGAGAAGGAGAGTACTTCTAAGGAAATATTTAAAACTTTGAAGTGTTCAGTGAGATCTTTATATGCTCTTGCAGAAATGTGTACCATAAATAATGTAGATTTGCTTCCAAGTTAGGTCATATCACATCCCCATTTCCTGTGTTAATCAACACAGAGAAAGTGTGCTGGTAGTGATAGCCATCTGGACAGCAGATCAACCAGATAAAGTCTGATCCAGCCATCCATATCCAGCAAAGCAATATAGTAAAAAAAATATCACGACAGTCACCAGAAGCCGCTGTGTGTTGTAAAGATTGCCAGCAGCCTAGTTTTGATAAGTATCAGTTTTTTTTGGTCAATGTAGACAAGCTTTGAAAAATAGTGATTTTTCCTCAAATCTCATAATGAGTTGTGTATCTGTACAGGTGTAGGAAAACAGGCATCATTGGACCACACTGCTGGAAACCTTTATCTTCTCTAATCAGCATTCCTCAAGTGGCAACCTTTTTCTACTCAGAGACCATTTAGTCTTGCAGAAAAAGCTCATGTCTTTAACTATAGCAATTTGAAATTATCTAAGAGTGGACCAAACAATAATAACCTTTTTTAAACTTAGCAATAGCAGCGAATAATGCAGCAGCCATTTTTGAACATGCTACTGGCAAAGCAACGGTGTCATGATCATTGTGTTGTGAATCACAGCAATATTCACAAACTAGTTCATGGTCATCAAGGCAGTATTTGGTGAGCAATGAATCACCATGGATCATACAGTTTGTTTCTTCCCAGACGTCACTAAGTTTGGCATAGATATGGTTTTGATAGGTGACATCTTGATGAAAGTTCCGCAAACAAATATTACAGTAATTCAGTTGGCATGTTATACATCTTTTGGTGGCCTTGCGTTGCTCATCACAAAGTTGACAATAGATTGGAACATGTGTTCTATCAAATCTCCACCTTAGGAAACCATGTCGTCGCATATACTTCCTGGCCAATTTGGCCCTTAGATAATTAACCCTCAGCTGTATTTTCCTAGAAAATGGGAGGCAATGTGCTTTGTTGCAAGATGGGCACACAATGATGAAGAAGTTTTCTGTGACCTCCGCTTCAGCTTGACTCCTCATGATGCACTTATCACAAATACAGTGATTGCATGGCAACATAAATGGGCGAATAAACAACCTCTGGCACACAGGACATATAAGCTGATCGGCAAAATCATGTGCTGAGATATCCTTCTCCAATGATATATCACTTCCAAGTCTTTGTCTGCATATGAAAAAAGGTTGAAAAGACTTATTAGTTAGAGCTAATGATGCCATCAATGTCAGTAATATTACCTAGCTCATATTACCAAATTATCCCTTTTGTAATGTGTGGCTGCTTCCTGGCTTAATCCCAGAATTCCCATTTTCTCATTTCTTTCATACCTCTTCTCAGTTCTTCTGCCAATGATACCAGCTTATGTAAATAGTAAAAATGGTTGTCGTAAGAGGGAAGTATGAGAAATTTCTCACTATGTCACTAAGACAGTGTCTCTGGAAATGTTCCTGGTTACAGTGCTTTGGGGGACATACAGACTTCTTAGGATCCCTACAATTAATATGTTTGTGGCATATGGAAAAGTTCTGTTTTAATAAACACTCCCTGATTACTCAGTATTAAGTGAAATCATCCACAATAAAATAACCACAACATGGAAATATTACCTTTTTCAACTACACCTCCCAGAATCCAGTCATGTGGCAAGGGCATTTTTGGGTACATTAGGCTGAAAAGTAACATTTTCAAGTTCAGAATTATTTTTTTTTAAAGTTACCAATTGAGTTATCTGAAAGACCCAATTAGTTGTTGTACCTATGCAAAGTGGACACTGCATCTCCCATATGTTGTTGAGAGTAAGTAACCCATAAAGCAAAGACAAATTATCTCAAGATGTATAGGTAGATAATGTGGTGTCCTGAATTATAACAGATATAAATGTTATAGTGTTAATGAATCCTGTGACAATAGCCAGAGTTAGTGATCTACATTGTCATAACTGTATGCATAAGTACTTGCTTTCAGATTGCACAATGATAGATCAAATATTTTATATGGAAACACCTTTGCTCCAAGTGTGCAAAGACAGTCTGATGGCTTCCAGACAATTCAGCCATTAATTGGCATCAAGCCATACCCAGATGTCCTTTCAGCTGCCTTCACATATCTGGAAAAGAAGAAACAGATCTTATCCTTCTCCAGGGGTCAGAACAATCCTACTTCTTCTTTCCTGTGTAAAGAAGGAAAGCTTATGCCTGGAAACACATCTGCACTGACCCCCTTTTGGGGTGGGGGTGTGATCCAGCATGCTAGACACCAAATCATCCTGAAAAGAGTCACCATGTGGGATGGCAATGGGTACAGCTGGGCCCAGTTCTGTTTGGGAATCAGCCCAAATGGCCCCAAGTCAGTGAAGAGCACAAATTCTGAGTCAGATTCAGATTTTTGGTAACACAGGGTAAGATTGCATTAATGTGTCCTTGCCTCCATGTTATTGTGGATCAACCCCAAGTGATGTGGGGCCTATCCTAATCTTCACTGACCCAAGTGATCCCTGTAGATGGCGTGTAGAGATGCCATTGCCTACACAACCAGTCAATAGTTGGAAGGTGCAACAGTGTCCAGCTGACCTTGTGCATGATTGAGAAAAAAAGCAATCTTTGTTAACACAAAAATTTTATACTCATATAGCAGCCCAATAAGATTTTGCTCGTGATATAAGAATGTATTTGACAAGATATTAATAAATGCAGATTTAAAAACAAACAAACAACAACACTTTACTCAAGGACAGAGAAAAATACCATACAAGTTTTCAGAACAGAATTATTTTTTAAAAGTCAAATTATTGGTGAATGAAGGAGATAGTTTTCTTTACTAGTTGTACAAGTAAAAACTGGTCTAGAATATGACTTCTTAAACTGTGGATCACAACCCCAAATAAGATCCCTTTAACTCAATGTTGGTGTCGTCAAAAACTGGCAACAGTAATAATTTTCTGACTGCCATTTAGTTACTGTTTTAGAAATTTACACAAATTTGTCCAGCGTTTACAATGGACTCTACATAAGATGCTTCATTAAAAACTGTTTAAAGGTAAAGGTTTTCCCCTGACATTAAGTCCAATGCTCATCTCCATTTCTAAACTGAAGAGGTGTCTACATTATCTGTAGACACCTCCTAGGTCATGTGGCCGGCATGACTGCATGGAGCACTGTTACTTTCCCACCGGAGCGGTACCTATTGATCTACTCACATTTGCATGTTTTTGAACTGCTAGGTTGGCAGAAACTGGGGCTAACAGTGGAAGCTCATGCTGCTCCCCAGATTCGAACCTGTGACCTTTTGTCAGCGAGTTCAGCACCTCAGTGCTTTAACTCACTGCACCACCAGGGGCAGCAAGCCTTAAAAATGCCTCTAGAACATGGCCATATAGCCCGAAAAAACCTACAACAACCCACTTAAAAATGATGTTGTGTTATCCATATATGTTTGATATTTTTACCTATTTTATATACTTATATACCCAGGATCATGTAAAATTGTCTTGGGCCAAAAGGGGTCCGAAGTTGAAAAATTAAATAATAGCAACAATAAAAATATCTTTATTTATATCCCACCCCATCTCCCCAAAGAAGCCCTAGTCTAGAGTTCATATATCAGCTGTAGAACATAGAAAAATTACTTGGTTGAATGGTGAATCCCTCAGCTAGTATGGAGATGCGGGGAGTTTCCATCCAGTGCAGTAACTTTTCCAAGCTTTGATGAGGTCAGAGCTTGTCAACAATATGATGAAGCTGTTATTGATATAAATGGGTTTGGTCCTGGACCAACAGATCCCAAATAACATAAAATCTGACTTGTTTATTGTGCATTGTGTGAGTTAATAAAAAAATAGATAGGGGATCTCTAAAAAATGGAGGTTAACTTTGACCTGTGGAGTTCAGGTAATACCTACAGCTAATTTCTCCAGCAGAGAAAGAGGGTTAACATTAAGTTGCCTGAAGCATCCAGGAAGTTGAAATGAAATGGGCTTAGGTTTCCATCTTTTAAGTACTATTCAGCAGTGCCACTGGCAACTGTTCTTAAGTCTTGGTTTGCCATGGTTTAAAACTGAAAATTGTAAAAAGTGGGTTAAACCAAGTAATCTATTTTCTAAAAGTGAATGGAGACAGTAATAAAGGATCATATCAAGCACTTCACTACAAAATAGGTTTTGCTGAATAAACCTGATTACTGTCTTCATGAACTGGGAAGGCAGAAAAATCCCTCTTCAAAAGTTTCCTTCAGTTAAAAGTTGTGTGGATTTTTTTTTAAAAAAAAATAAAACATCCATGACTGGGATCAGGATTATTGAATTTTATAATCTTATCATTCACTCACATCTCATTTTATGTAAGTGGCCCTCAATTTCACTAATATATTTTTAATTTTGACATTGATTTTGAATATATATATTTGTTAGCAAAGTGTAGCCTCCCCAACATCCAATTTTATGAAAAACAGTGTGTGTGCTTTACATCTTGGTCCTGTCCTGTCCTCTCCTTATCATTCTTTCCATGTATAGAAGCAATTAGCATTTCTTTAATCCTGGGGCATTCTGGGATTTAGAGCTCAAAAAGCTGACTATCCCATTCCCAGGCTCTGAATGTATACTAAATCCTTCTGAAGAAGTTATTTTGTCCATGCTCATATGTAAATTCCATTTTGCATGCTGTATGCCTCAAGTTCAGTCCACAGCAACTCCAGATTGGTTTTGATTTCAAATCGAATGCCTAATGATGGTAAAGACTCAGAGGTGTAACAAAATGACTCTGTGCGTATGCAAAATTGAGACATTGCCTCCTACTAAGAATTCTGCCCCTTCATGAAAATTTCCACTCTAGTTGTGTGTGCACTGGACCATGACTCTGAAGACTGGAGATCAATTTCCCTCTTAGCCATAGAAACTCACTGAGTGGCTTTGGATGAGCCAGACACTCTCAATCTCAAAAAAAGTTGATAAGTTAACTTTAGGTCACCATAAGACAAAAATGACTTGAAGGCACAACAAAATAAATTCCAGCCATGCAATAAGTTAGACACTGAAATTGTTTGAGCCTAGAATCCTTATATTTGCTGTGTTTGCATTCCCTGGTTAACTTTGGCTGCCCCTTTCCTTTGAATGCCTAAACTCCATTACTAAATACTGAACTAAAGTTTTAATTACCAATACTAGAAGTTTGAAAACTGAAGGAATTTTTATGGAGGGAGCAATGCCTTCACACACACACACACACACACACACACACACACACACACCCTCACTCCAAAAGGTCATTTACTTGAAACATTTGAGATGTGCTGTCAGTCAGATAGTCATTACTGGGGTTGATGGAGTAACACCCTGATGTAAGTATACAAGTACAGGACTGTGATCCTTAACATTTTAGTTTTACAACACTTACCTTTTCAGTTTATGTTTACGCCTATATGGCAAATAGGAGAGATAACTGCAGCATCTACTGTCATAACACTGACACTCAGTATTTGCATCTGTACAGCACAAACACTTGCAATTTCGATTAGTAGAACAGGAGCAACAGCAACAGCGGCAATTCGGATTCTCCGAGCATGAACAGTGGCAGCACTGGCACCTTGAATCTTCACGATGTGGGCAAAAACAGCAGTCCCACTGCCGCTCATCACTAAATAAGAACAGCCAACAAGAGCAGCATCTGCCAGAGGTTATATTATTCACAAAGTCTCGAAACTTGATGCAGAATCCACAACATTTACAACCTGGGCAACATGGGCATGTCCAGCAACATGCACAGCTCATGGCAGTCATTGTCTTCCCAGATATTTAAGGTTTCCCTTTTTTTAGTCCTAGAAAGCTTTACTTGCTGTTTATGTTTGCAGAGCAACTGCCCCATACTTTATTTTGGACCTCTGGAGAAAATACTGATCACTTGGGAAGAAAATGTGGCATCACAATGGGTTTTACCAATGAAAGCAGTGTCATAATGTATGTCATAATGACTAAAGCACTTGAGATTCCTGCACTGATATGTTCATATGACTAAACTGCACAAGAAATAATGCAATGAGGATCATTGTATTACTCTGATAAAAATTGCACTTTCTCTGGTCAACAGGATGATGTCAGCATGGAATCTTAAAATGACATGATTTATGTAAATACATTAATTTTGGCTATCATTTGATTTAGTATTCTCTATTGTTTTGCCAATGTTTTGTTATTATAAAAGAAACAGAAATATTAGAGCTATAAATACTCTACTTCTGAGCCAATCAGAAATTAAAGTAGAGTCATGATTCTGAGGATGAGGGCATGTTCATTCTGGGTAACAGTGCATGTGATCACTAGACTGAGAGACAAAATATCACATTTACTGGAAACATTAAAATACAATAAGAACTCAGTATTGTATTGCTGCTCTAACTATTTCTTATGTGCCAACACAATGTCTCCTCTTGTCTTACAAAATACATGTCTAGGCAATCTCAATTGTCTACGCTGGCTCCACAGAGTCGTCTTTGGATACTTACAGTGGGTTACAGTTATTGTTTTGGGTGAAAACTGGATTGATTAACATTTCTTTTTCTTTATAACTGATACTGATATAATGAATTATATTTCTCTGGCTACCAGGCATAAGACATTATCAGTCATTCCAACCAAAAAGACAGTCTTTGTGAGTGCTTCAGGAATTGCTGCATACTACTACTGCATTTAACATGCAACTGATATTTCCGTTACAGATGCTACTCATAAACTGGTTTGTGAGCTTCTGATGAGATCATTTGGTAATTAGAGCTGGGTTTCTGTGTGTTGTCTGAATTATTTCTGAACAATATACAAGTATCAAATTAATACTAAAAGACTGGAAAATATGTCCATCTAACAGGACTTCTAGGAAACAATAACCCATGGAAATTAAGGGACTAAAGTGGACTAAAAGGCTCCATTTTCTATAATTTCATCTGTGAAGACTAAGGTTACTACCCCTGATAGTATCCCTGAAATCTCAGGTCCAGAACCTGAGAGTTACTGATGACATCATGTTGATGTCACAGGACACAGGGACTGGTGATATCATTATGCATGATATATCAAGCATCAGCAACAGTAGAAGAACAGAACATGCAATTCATTTTGAAAAATGGTCTAACAAATGAAGAAAATACAAACACACACCTGTTTAACCCCAAGATTCCTTCCCCTCAATCTCATATCTAGAAAAGAGTCGCCGAATTAGGCTGAAAAATGCGGTATAAAAATAAAGCAAATAAATAAATAAATGAATAAAGAGTAAATAAGCTTTAAGATATGGAAACCCTAATAAGGTCACCTAGCTATTGCTTCCAAGCTTTCTAGAATAGAAGCTGTCTTCTTGCAGTGTGGATCTGAGGAATACCTTTAGTATATGCATTAATTAACTTTACCAATGGCATCTGAAAACAAAGTACAGGTTAAAAATATAATAACAGAGCAAACTAAAACACTGTTTAAAAACCTTATTCTCTCTTATTTTGGGGCCATGGGCCTATTAACAGTTGAGTGAGACTTTGTGTTAAACTTTATTGGCTGAATCATCTTTAGGGCTAGATTTATGCTGCTCTGTATCCCAGGATCTGAACCCAGGTTATATGATTTGAACTGGATTATATGAATCTACACTGCCAGATAATCTGGGATAAGCAGATGATCAGGGATCTGATTATGCTAATATAATGCTATTTTTGTTCCCAGCAAAGATTTGAAAAGAAATTTGGGGTCTACTATGATGCTTGCAAGATAGGATAGTTGGAAATATGCTGGAACCCAGGATTTGGGAGAGGTTTCTAACCTATCATTGTTCATATTTTATGATCTAGGAAGGTACTATAATTGCTTTTTTTAATGTCAGGAGCAACTTGAGAAACTGCAAGTCACTTCTGGTGTGAGAGAATTGGCTGCCTGCAAGGATGTCGCCCAATGGACATCCAGATGTTTTGCCATCCTGTGGGAGGCTCCTCTCATGTCCCTGCATGAGAAGCTGGAGTTACAGATAGGAACTCACCCCACTCCCCAGATTCAAACCACCAACCTTTCAGTCAGCAGTTCTGCCGGCTCAAGGTTTAACCCATTGCACCACCAGGGCTCCACTATAATTACTGAATATTGATCAATTGACTTGTCCTGAAAATTTATTGATCCTATTTTGTTGAATGTGAATGAAGCAATTTTTGCAGAACACAGGGCAGGCTAATTATCTTCCAGCTGTTTTGACCCAAGCTGCTTAGAAACCAGCTTATTGCTGCTGCCTCACAGCCTCTCTCATCTGAGGTAACTCTCTGTAGAGCCAGTCCTGATTTTGAATTCAAATGTTCTCAGATTGAATCCTTGACATTTCCAACTGAAGGAGAGAATGGTGCAAATAACCTAATCTCCTGAAAGCATTTGGAGCCACTGCCAGGGAAAATAAGCCATTTTTGTTCTGAGCCTAAATCTAAAAGGACAAAGTCAATAATTGATTTCCCACTTATCCCCAAGATACAGATAAAAGTTCACATGGGAAAAATGTGTTTGTTGTGTGCCTTCATGTCATTTGTAGCTTATGGCAACCATAAAATGAAGCCAATGGGTTTCCATGACCATGCAGGGATGTGCATTCTTGTCTCCAGAATCATAGTCCAATGCTTAAACAATTACACAATTCTGGATCTCAGGGAAAAATTGATGAAATATTTTGAGAAAGAACACTGCTTAAATTGTAGGGTTTTTTCCCCCAAACATATGACATTATCCCATTTTGTTTCACATTTTTCATTTTTTGCTCCTAAAAATATATTTTCGCTTATCTTATTTCGTCTTTTCTGAGAGATAGATTATGGGGAACTATTTTGGATAGGCAATAAAATAATCTGACCTGGAATCAAGCAGTTTCCCATGGATTGTTTATGGTGGTTCCATACATAAAGCAACTATCAAGATTTTCTGGCAAACTAGGCAGCAAATTACATCCATCCTCCTTTATGTAAGCTTTGAGTACCACTAATTAAAAATGAACACTAGAATCCTAACTGATCAACTTAAGAATAAACTTATAGAACCTATCTTGTGTATATATGGCTGGAGTTACACTTACAATATGTACCTGTTCTAACTTACATACAAATTCAACTTAAGAATAAACTATCTTGTTTGTAACTTGAGTCTATCTTGTTTGTAACTTGAGGACTGCCTGTATCTAGCTACATTACAGGGATCTTAAGAAATCCCTTTATTGAATAGGAAATATGTCTAACAGGACACCAATAACAGTGTATCTATGGTGCCCAATGTGCATAGAGACTGATGCAATGTGTGCTGGGATATGCAATCCACATCCCATTGTGCATAATCCCATTGCACATCCATTACTTTGCTCATTCTATTACATAGTAACATAACATCTGTTCACTCTATTTCATTGTAACAAAACAGCAGCTTTGGATGATGATGATGATGATGATGATGATAGATTTCAGAACAGTTCAGTATTAATTCCCACAGATGTAACTCCACTTATAAAAATGGAAGGTCCCAACAGGCTTCTGGCTGAAAGCTTTGGAATGTGAGGTTGATGGATCCATGCAATTTTTCACATATACAGGCCCGTAGCCAGGATTTCGTTTGGGGGGGGGGGCTGAATTTTTTTCAGGGGGGTTTCGGGGGGGGCTGAGTTTTGGGGGGGCTGAGTCTGAGTGAAAGAGGGTCTAGCCTAGCAAACCTTTTGTATCATTACCCCAATACCCCCATGCATATGGGATATATTGAGTATGGTGATCAGATCATGATATGAATAAACATAACAGTTTAAATAATGCACCAGTAAGGCCTTTTCGCGAACCACCATGAAAATTTGGGGGGGGGGGCTGAAGCCCCCCGCCCCCCCCCCCCCCGGCTACATGCCTGCACATATCCCTAAAGAGTCAGGAGATTACCCCACCTTAGCCCACTAGGATTACGACATCACAGACTTTGTGAACAAATATGGTCCTTTAATATAAGGACAGTGACAGCAAAATTTTCTGGCAAACTAAGCAGAAAAATATATCCATTCTCATCAGAGATTATATTAAGTTTGGATACCACTAATTAAAAATAAATACCAGAATCCTAAATGACCTGTTAAGTTATGTAACTTTATATGTCAGCCAGTGCCATTTTAATTCTTTCTCTCTTTTTTGGCAATTAGTAAGTGTTGTTTAAGTACTGGTATGCTGGTTGTCTTCTTCAATCTTGAATCTTGAAAATATTCTCAAAGCTTTATCACATTCTGGAAGTTCATGGGGAGTGATAATTCTGAACATGCCTACCTGATATGTATGTACAAGAGATTCATCAATTCATAATCAGCATAAATGGAGTATGGAAGCTTTATTTGACTTTGTGCATTGCCATTAGTAGCTATCTATCATCTCCACATTTATATTTTTACAAATTATATGCTCACATGAGGCACTCATAGCCAATAGGCTTTTGTTTCAAAAGATATCTTTTTGTTTGCATAGTATTTCTATTAAGTTTTTTATCTCTTTCCTTTGGAAAAATGGGGCAAGACAAAAAATTGAGTTCTGGCTCCAAATTATGGTTATATGAGTAATCAGCCACCTTGACAGAAAGAGAGAATTTTCTTTTGTTTTCTTTGGTCAAGTTGTTGTTGGCTGAGTGTGATTCCAAAGAAGTGCTTTTTTGTGTCACCTACTCCATTTTTAAACTCATGAAATTACTTGTTTCAGTTTCACTTTCCTATGTGACGCAGGTTTGCTACTAGAACGGGGAAAAAACATAACACCGGA